ACTGAAACCAGAAGAAGATGAATTATCCACCCTCTTCAAGACTACCATTCATACTCTGTTCTACCATGGGAAGAGGTATGGAGTAGAACACTGAGACTTACCGAACCCATGGATGTGAGGAAGTATTGCAGCCGGCCGACCACCGATACCGACCACCGTACCTCAGCCACATCAAGTAAAATATTGTAAACCTTTATGCATCAAACCCCCATCTCTACACAATGCTCAATATAATTATTTATTTCAATACAGTCCATTTATTTCATTTCAAAGACCCAATCTTCTGGACCATATCATAGAAAAAATTATGGTATATCCCAATTCAAAAAGGAGTGGGGCTAATACTATCCAAAGTAGCCACAAGGTTAAAATGTATCATAAAAAAATCAGCTGGATACGTCAGTATCATAAGGGGTGTGCTAGGGACGATGAAGATTTCATGTCAGTTGTGATTTAGTTTTGGAAATTAAACAACTTGAACAACTAGAAGTGTATAGGAGACTTTCAGACGGTTTAGATGTAGAAGAGTACTGCGTACTAAAAACAGCATGATATGTTTATTCACATCATAAATAGAATGTTTTTTTTTTGTTTGTTTTTTTATTTAGAAAAAATATATTTTGCCTCAATTAAGGGCATTGAGCATTTAGGATGAATGAAATACAAACATACCATATATACAATAAAAGAAAAACAAGACTATAACAAAATAAAATAATACTTGGAGTAACAGAATAAATCGATCATGATACAACATTAAATAAATAAAAACACATTCATACTTATTTACAATATTTACAGTCAGCCGAGGGAACTCCGAGTCGGGCCTTTTTCGCCCACATGTGGAGGTTTCCAAGAGATGCCTTCTCTCTCAGCCGCATCACTGGGATGGGAATCCAGTGGAGACTAAGTGAGGGCACTAAAGCCACATACGCTCATGACTTGAGTGGAGAAGCTGGCCATCACCAGGAATCCAATGACGTCTTTACAAAAGATCTCGAGGCCACTGCCGCTTCAACCTTCGAGGAGGATTGTAGGGATGACAGGAACTGGATAAGGATTGTGCTAAGGGATTAGGATGAGATGGAATAACGTCAAGGATATAAAGGATGTTAAGGTCATGATGTAAGTTTTTGGTCGTAACATAATAAAGAGCATTGACTATTATACGGAGGACTTTAGACTGGAAGGATTGGATGCGTTTGATGTTCGAATATTTAGTTGTCCCCCACAGTTCAGGTCCAGATGGGTTTCAGTATGGTCTTGCATATTAATATTTTGTTCTCAATTGAGAGGTTAGATTTTCTGTTAAGTAGTCTGTATAACTGGCCAAGTCGTCGGTTAAGCTCTTGTCTTTTAAGTATGGTATGTGGGTTCCATATTAGCCTTTTGTCTAAAAGGAATCCAAGATACCGAACTGTGTCTGAGATGGGAAGAGGTACTGAGTTGAAAATGATATGTGGATAGGATCTGCGTCGAAGAATAAAGGTGACATGCTTGCATTTGGATTCATTGATCTTGATGCGCCAATTGTTGCACCATTGTTCGATTAGGGAGATGTGTTTTCGAATGTTTAGAGATGCTGTTTCAGGGTCTGGGTGGGAAGATAGGATGGCAATATCGTCAACAAATGTTGCTAGAAGGGTATTCGGATGGGTTGGAATGTCAGCTGTGAAAAGGATGTAGAGAACTGGGCCCAAGACACTGCCTTGTGGAACACCAGCCTCAGCTGGATAATAGTTGGAAAATCCAGTGCCGCAGCGGACTTAAAGGAACGATTAGAGAGGTAGGATTTGAGAACTAGGTACAAAGATTGGGGTAAGTGAGTTTTCAGCTTGAAAAGCAAGCATTCGTGCCACACCCGGTCGAAAACTTGCGCTACGTCCAGAAAAGCACTAGTGCAATATTGCTTGCTTTCAAGCGCAGAGGATATATGTTCAGCAACGCGGAGGCCTTGTTGAACAGTGGAATATCTTGAGCGGAATCAAAACTAATGGGAGGGGATATTGTGGGTTTCCAGAATGGGTAGGATATGTTTGAGAAGAATTTTTTCAAAGATTTTTTAGAGGATCGGAAGTAAGCTTATCGGTCTATAGGATGAGGTATTATTAACAGGTTTACCTGGTTTTGGGAAGAGGATAATAATGGAGTGTTTACATATCAGAGGAAAGTGAGTTTTGAGGAATATCATTGCTTTTTTTTGAAGTTGTCTAAGGATCTGGAAGGCAAGGAGATCATGTCCAGGGAAATTTCGAGGTTTCAAGTTGTTTATAAGGAATTTGACCTCAGAGGGGTTGACAGCTTTAGGAGGCAAGGAGAGAGGAATCGGAGAAGAGAGTAATTCTTTAACTTCACCAGTGTGGGTGGGAAGGAGTTCGGGATGGGGAGTTTTCTATAGATGTTCGGTAAATTCTTCAGCTCTAGTCTCATCTGACGAAGCCCAGGTTCCGTCATCTCGTCAGAGTGGAAAATAGATTGGTCTTTAAGGATTTGATTGGTCGCTTTCCAGAGGGAGTTGTCATCGGCAGAGAGGGAAGAAAGGTAGGAATTGTAGGATTGGGATCTATATTTCGTAGCTCTTTATTTTGTTTATAAACGTTGGTGATTTGGCGGATATTGTAACCTAAAGCCGTCAATTCTTCTTTGATTTCATCAGGTGGAGTTGAAAGGTGGAGGCCTCTTATCACTACTCTCAGTGCTCTCTCTTCATATAACTGATATGTGTGATATTCAGCCTTTGATTCTGTTAAGTATTTCACAATTTTTCTGTATTTATCCGGAGAGTCCGGTATTAGTTTGGTGTCATTTGTTCTACTATGGCATATATATTTTCCGTTGTCAATTATTTTATTGAGATACTGACAGAATAAAGGGAAATGTTTAATGTTTCGAACAAATATTGGAGGTGTTTTCGGCTCTCTAGGGGTTGGTGCTGTTTCCATTGTATCTTGTGAAGATAATATCTGGTATGGGTTGGTAGTGAAAAACGGAGATTCGTCTGTTATTTGTGTTGAAGAACCATGTTGTGGATCATTAATGGTTTCACTAAGTCTGTCAGGTGTTGATGGTGGTATTTTCCTATTGGAACGCCTTGGCCTTAATTTGTGGGAGACGAAGTAACAGGTGATTTGTAATAGATTAGCGCACGCGCAGAACTCAAAATAGAATGTAAGGATAATATTTTATAATAAAAAATGTTATCTTAACTTTGTATATAGAAATTTTATATTTCTATTATTTTATTTTTTTTTTGGCATTACAGATCTTCTGCCACCTAAACATTTCTGATCCATCGCGGCCTGTCTTAAAATATTTCCTTCCAGTTATCTGCTCACAGCTGTATTTCATCCTTGTTTATTCTATTTATCCATTTGCTTTTTGGCTTTCCATTTAGTATTTTGCCGTCTATTGAGGCATTCTTATTCAGCAGTGGTGCAACAATTGGCGCATCAAATTAATCAAAATTTAAACATGTCACTTTCACCCTCCAACCTAGATCCTAGATAAAAGACTGAATTGGAATCCAAATACAAACCTTAAAAGACACGAAGTAAACTGACGATTCGACCAGGTATACAGATTATTAAACAGAACATCTCATCTTACATTCAAAAACAAATTATTAATCTATAAGAACGTTCGAAACCTACCTGGACCTATGGACTTGAACTGTGGGGGACAGCTAAATTTTCCGTAAACAAATTTTAAAATAATTCCGTAAAAATTGCTTTAGAATCTGCATAATTTAGTTAGATTTTACAACATTTTAAATAGTCTTTTCTGTGATACACAGCATTGATTAGGTTAGAATAAAAAGTGTTTTTTACAAAATTAAATTTAATTTAAAATTTTAAGTAAAGTAAATCTTTCTAAGTTATCTTCTTTTCATTTTTTTTTTTATATGAATAGATAGTATTTTATTAAATCATTGGACAAAATATGAATGCAGGATAACAATCGTATAAAATCCTTCCTCCTTCCTATAATCCTCCTCGACGATTAAAGCGATAGTGGCCCCGAGACTTTTAGTAAATATTCTTCTGGAGTCCTGCCCTCATTCAGTTTCCACTTGCAACTCATACCAGTGAATTTAAATATTGTATATAATTGGTATGAATGTGTATAAGAAGATTACTTTTATTTATTTATGTATATTTTTTTATTAATATTAATATTTGCTTAAATATAAATGCTTATTAAACAAAATTTTTATTTAATTATATCATATATATTTCCGTACAGCTTTGGGCACTGAACGATTTTCAAACATTTCTTGTCACATATTATTTACCACCTATCTATTTTATTTTTAATTATTGGTCAATATCATTTCGACAAAAGTTCTTTTTTTTCCTAGTCAGGATTTATATTGGTGATAATTTTTTCTTTCTAAAAACAGAAAAAAACGCTTTTTTTACTTTGTACATATAAAATAATTTTCGAATAAATAATAAAAAACTAATAACAATAATATTCATTTACTGATTAAATTCATTAAATTGTGAATAATAAAATTTGTTTAATAATTAACTGTTTTGTAGAATAGGTTAATAATTTGATTTTCTTTGTCAGCCATATTTTAAATTTTTAAGGTTTATAAAATCGTTTATTACAATAAAAAAAAGAAAGTAAAAGAGCATCATAATACAAGTAAATTATTTCAATGAGATAATGTAAAATATGTATATATTATATAGATATTAAAAATATATATACAAAAGCACAACATGACGTTTATTGAGTTTTACTGTTTATTATATTTTACATTGATAAGGGAGAGGAATTTGAAATTGTTATTAATATTTGTAATAGTTGTTAAATATTACCGCCTCTGTTAGCATTACCCAGGGAGCACCGCGAATACATTCCCCAAAAAATGTATTGAACATAATAATCAATTATTATGTAGAATGAAAAATAAATACATAGTGAGGGATCTTTACCAATCCCTCAAACTAAATAAAACAATAATCATCCTTCAGATGAGTCTTAAGGTGACGATGATAACGGAAGCCACGATGGCACCGTTCGCAGGTATAAGGCATTCTGGCGTTATGGCAATAAATATGGTTTTTCAAGCTGCGATGGTTAGCGTAGCTTTTGCCGCATTCCTGACAAACATGAACCTTCTTGCTCGGCTCTGCCGCGTGCCTCCTCGCAGCGAAGTCGAAGGGGGTGGGGTTCGCCCCCCCCAACATCCTCCTTGGAGGTGTGCAAAAATACACGAAGGCCTCTCCAAGTTTCTTTGTTCTTCAATAATTGCTCGTGGCAATTCATCACCTTCGTCAACAATTGAAGAGTTATATTAATTTCATTCTTATCTAGGATAGTTACATCAACAAAATTGTGGCAAAACCTTAAGAGGGTGTTACAACATAGAAAACTACCATCTTTTCAGAATTCTGAATGAAAAAATGTTTTTCAAAACTAATTTGTATGTTTTTTAAAGAAATATAACAACCATTTATGACTATGGTAGAATTTCTAAATCAATTCGAATTTTACATTTTTAAAAAATCGAAATTCGTTTTTTATTTGACTATCGTGAGTTAAAAATTTTAATGATATTGAAATTCGATTAACAAAAAAAAAAAAAATATTCATATAGCATGGGGTGGAATACCAGCTTCTCCTTCGCCGCCTCTCTCCTCTCCATCCGTTGCCGAACTTCAGCGTGGACTGCAATTCAAGAGTTGTATTGATTTCAAAGAATAACAAAAGAATGATAAAAAAAATAAATCAATGTGTAAATGACATACATATCTCCAGGTAACAGGATATTGAAGGTACCTCGCGGAGCCAATCGAACTCCCCTGAGGTTAGCAGAGCCAGCAGCTCTTCACTACTCGGGAAGTTGGTCATGATAGAAGGTATTCTCTACAAGAGAGCACTTTCTAACACGGAGACTCAAGAGGGACTGACCATCTTCACGTACTTTGGTCCGGTACAGAACTCAAAAAGGAGTGGGGGTAATAGCATCCAAACTGACCACAAATTAAAAATAAATCATAAATTGCATTGGAATTAAAGTCGATTACTGCCTATCACTTTACTATACATATATAATTATATAACTCCCCTGCATCTAACAACAAATAAAAACAATTATAAAATAGCAATGTCTTATTGTAAAATTTCCTAGTTTCTTTTGCCGCATACTCCTCTTGTTTATCTTTTATGATTTCGCTTTCCGATTCCCGCTTTTTCTTTAGACAAATTTCTTCGACTCTTTTTTTTTTTGTATTATGTAAATTTCCATTGTCGCTCTAGTTGTCCTCTTTAAATATTTGGCTCTCGCGTCATTCCTCTCTCCAATTGCTTGTAAAGATTCTTCATCAAACCATTCGTTTCTTTCTTTCCTGAGTTTACATCCTAGCACTTCCACAGCAACCTCATTCAACACCGTCCTTATTCTCCGCCATCGCTCATCAACTGTATGCTCTTTTACATTGCTTTCATTTAATCTTTGAGTGACCTTTCTTTCAAATGTTTCAATTCCTTAATGGCTATCCTTAACTCTAAAATAAGCATGCAGTATAGATATATATATATAAAATTATATTATATAAGTATAAATAAATTTCTTTATGTATATATTAACCTTATAATCTATATAAAATACCAAGACTATAAAAGATTTAAGGGTTACACACCTCTTTACCTTAAGTTATTACAGTAGGGTTCTCTCTTCTGGTGATCTTTAAGCAGGCGATGGAACCTAAAGCCGCGATAGCATCGTTCTCAGCGATAGGGTGGAATCCCAGTGTGGAGGTAGGTGTGGTTGAATAGGCTATTTCGGTTAGCGTAGCCCTTTTCGCACACGTCGCATCTGTGCGCCTCCTTTCGCCTCTCCAGGAGGCGCCTAAAACAGAAATCATCCTTAAGATGAATCTTGAGGTGCCGGTGATACCGAAAGCCACTCACGATGGCACCGTTCGCATCTATACGGCATGCTTCCGGTATGGCAGTAAAGGTGATCTCTCAAGATTTACATAGAACGGAGCATCAACTATTGTTCGAAGGACTTTAGATTGAAAGGATTGAATACGTTTGATGTTAGAAGCTTTTGCTGTCCCCCACAGTTCAAGTCCGTATGTCCATATAGGTTTCAGTATTGTCTTGTAGATCAATAATTTGTTTTCAATAGAAAGAATTTAAAAAAATTTAATAAATATAATTTATTTATATTGCTTATGACTGAATACCACAACTAGTGTTGCACAAATGCGAGACCATGAGGTGTCTTGGTCTTGTGCAAGTCTCGCAACAGTCTTCCAGTTACCTATCAGCTTCTTATTATAGATATATTACTGTCATTTGTCAGACATGGGAAACCTAAGCCCAAATGAAAAATTGAGAGTTAAATTCCAAAGGATATTGGTTACACCAAATCTTTACATATGATAACTAAATTTTCAAGTTTTACTATTACAACTATTTCAAGGTTGACTATTTTAACTTAATTTTTATTCATAAAAAGGATTTTTTTATCAATCTTGGTCTTGGTCTTACAAGTTAGGCAGGCCTTAGTCTTGATTTTGCAAAGTATAATACCAAGACTGATTTTGGACACTAACTATTATAAATCCACTATCATTAAAATTTTAAATAGTTCAAAATTTGATCCTCGATGTATAGATTCATTTCTGATCATTGATATAAAATATTTTTTATGAAATGGTTTACCTCTTACCATAATGTAGATATTTTATATTGCATCTCTTATTTTATTTATTTTTCATTACTTTTTTGGGAAATTAGAGATTGTTGGCTATAATATATTTTCAATTTTATCACACAGGATATACTAAGTAAAAATAACTAATAGTGAAACATAAAACTGTAAGGATAAAATACAATAAATTATCAATTGATTGAAGAACTATCCAATTTAACTTGAAAAAGAAAATATTTTTAATCAACAAAGGAATATAAAAAAAAAAAAAAAGATGAAACAGAATATTTATTTACAAAGAAATTTAAATTTATAAATGCTGCACATATACATTTACATATTTACTGCTAAAAACAGACATATGAGGGAAATTCTTTTTACTTATTGAATTTATCCTAAGTCTAAATACAATAAACCTCTTAAGAATACTATATTTAATATTGTGACAATTAAATATGTGTTCTTCATCAACAGAACTCATTTTTCTCTATGAAAAATCCTCTTAAATCACCTCTAACTGAGTTGATTTGGCTCATATGGGTTTCGAAATTGACTTAATCCTTTAATTTGTTACCTTATTTTATTAATTTTCCTTTGTAATTCAGTGGTTAGGAGAGAAAAAGATTGAAATTAAGTTTGAAACTTGATTATAGAAGATATTTTTATAGTTTGGGGCTATTAGCTGATACAATTTGTATTTTGAAGTCAGTGGTTTCAAGTATAAAATAGAAATTTGGTTTTCATTTATAGTTATTGTTACTTTCAATATTAAAAATATGAGTGTAGTTGATGATCCTTAAATCATAGTTTAATTGAGTATAGTTGATGATCCTTAAATGATAATCTTGACCTTAAATGATACTCATATTTTAATGATGAAAGTAACAATAACTATAAAGGAAAACAAAATTTCAATTTTATACTGAAAACTAATAACTTCAAGATAAAAATTGTTTTAGCTAATAGCCTCGAACTATAGACACTGTCTTCATTTAACCAAGTTTCAAACTTGATTTCCATCTTTTTCTTTCATTACCACTGAATTAAAAAGGAAAATTAATAAAATAAAGTAAAAAATTAAAGTATATTCACAATTTTAAGTCTACGTAGAAGAAACCAAACCTGTCACTTTAACTTTAAACACTAATATATATAGCTATTAAATAAAAAATACCTATTAATAAACTAAATCTATTACTAAAACAACACAATTAAACTTTCAAACAAAATATCACTAATAAAATATGAGTCTGTGAAGGTGAAACCTATCACTGAACATGAATATCCTAAGGTTAACTATCACTTTAAACACTAAAACGTACAACTATTCAATAAAAACTACCTATTAGTAAACTAAATTTATTACTAAAACAACACAATAAAACTTTTAAATAAAATATCACTAATAAAATAAGTCTGTAAAGATGAAACCTATCACTGAACAAGAAACCAAAACAATCACTGAAAACACTAAAACGTATAACTATTCAATAAAAACTACCTATTAATAAACTAAACCTATCACTTAAACAACAAAATTAAGCTTCTCAACTAAAATACTGCTAATAAAATATGAAATTTTAGCAGTTTTGAGGTGCCTAAAGAGCAAGCAGATAGCAAGGGACGATCCAAGATGGCCAACCAATCAGAAATCGAATCCATATGACCGCACTGTATTATTAAGCCACTGTACTGTAAGGCCTGTCGGCTTCCGGTATGACAGTAAAGCCGATTTCTCAAGCTATGCTGGTTAGCGTATCTTTTGCCGCATTCCTGGCACATGTGTATCTTCTGCGGCTCTGCCTCGTGCCTCCTTGAAGAGAAATCGAAAGGGGTGGGGTTCGCCCCTTAATATCCTCCTTGGAGGTGTGCAAACCTCCACGCCGACCTCTCCAAGTTTCCTCCTTCTTCAACTCTGCCACGTACCTCCTTCAGAGGAATCGAAAGGAGTGGGGTTCGTCCCCCCAACATCCTCCTTGGAGGTGTGCAAACCTGCACGAAGGCCTCTCCAAGTTTTCTCCTCCTTCAAAAATTCTGCGTGGCAATTCTTTACCGTCATCTACGACTCCACAGTTATATTAATTTCGAAAAATATATTTGCAATAAAGTTAACTAATAATTGATAACGTTAATTATCATTCGTTACTTTATGATTACTGGTTGCGCAACTTTTACCAGACACATCCCACACGTAGAGTTTACGCTCCACCACAGTAAAAATAATAAATAAAAAAAATTAATTGAAATATTCATATAATCACCAATTATAATTGAAAAGAAGCATTTATTAAAAACTTAAGTTTGAATAAAATTTTTTTTTTTATTAAACTCCTCTTCCGTTAGCTATTAGGCCATTCAGCTCGGTTTGAATAATATATGAAATGCTACAACAATACATAATTATCGTTTTCTCAACTGCTTATCATACCCACCGAGAATATCGTTCAGTCCTGTGGTACACCTTTAACATTGAGAGGAACCGAAAAGAGCGATTGTACCTGCACACAGGCCGTGGTATCGGAGTCTGCGCTGTTAGCTTTTACCATTTTCCTCGCACAGGTAGCTATTCTACATTTATGCTACGACTTGTTCGCATCTGTCAAATTAATTGTGTACTGAACATCCTCCTTTGATACTTATTTGAGCTATGCTTGCCACACCCTCTAACTCGGCCGACATTAAAGTTCTTTCCTCTGAAGCTTCTTTAATTTCCGGTGATACGAAAATCGCATCCATAAGCCAGGTTTCCTATGTGCAAATAGCTATAGTTTGGCCGGCTTTATCTTAAATTAAAGCAAAATATTATCATATATAAACTTATAAATTACTTACATATATATTGGGACAAAGGTATGTTGATATTTCTAAATCTTCATGAGCTGATACCTGATATCTGCTATGGTGGTAGAGAACAAGATAAACTAAACAACATAAAAAATATATCAAGTTAGAAATTACTTATATATCTCCATGAAGCTCTACGTAATTACGTTAATGTCACTAAGCCAGCTGCATCAAATGATTCCAACAAGTCATCGTACGTCGGGATTTCTTCTGTTACTGCTAAAGGTGAATTCTTCTGCATAGACTGCAGAGGATATTGCACTCTTCAGGCACGTTGTCCTGACCACCCGGAAATTTTGAAACATCCAGGTCTCGAAGCGAGTCTTATTCCAGCAGAGCGACCTCTTTTTCCTAATTACAAACACTGACTTAAGTACGTTAATGTCTTTAAGTCAGCTGCATCAAATGATTCCATTAAGTCTTCTCAAGTCGTAATTGCTCTACAGAAGATTTGATCTTGCTCAAGGTGGAATATATAGTAATAACATTACTATAAATATATAGTTATATAACTTTACTATATATTAAACGTCTCTAATATTAATTATAATTAAAAAAATACATCAATGTGTAAAAAACTTACATATCTTCATGTAGAAGGATATTGGTATTATTATATTTCATTTATTTATTTGGTATTTATACATATTTTATACAGTACACAGCGCAACAAAATTCTTACAGCTTTCTAAATTTCTAATTTAAGCCAGCAGTAAGCAGCAATTTAAGCAGCTCCTCACATGAAGCTCTACGTAATTACGTTAATGTCACTAAGCCTGCTGCATCCAATGATTCCAACAAATCAGCAGTATTTCTTGTTACTGCTAAAGGTGAATTCTTTTGCATAGACTGTAGAGGTTATTATAATCTTCTGGCACGTTGTTCTGACCACCCGGAAATTTTAAAATATCTAGGTCTCGAAGCGAGTCTTATTCCGCCCAATCTTATTCAATCAACAAGTCTTTACACGCGTGGGAGCTATAATCTGCCATGCTTGAACGTTTGTTGTCGTTGCACTGGCACTTCAAACAGTGCCAGTAGCTCTTCATAAGTCGAGTATCTGGTATCGGCCATAATGATAGACGAAAATGTTCATTCGAATCATTTAACGTTAAAAAAAATTTGTACTAAACTGAAGAACATAAAAAAATATGTTAAGGGATAAATTACATACAGATCTCCAAGTATTTGCTAATTGGGGTGTCAATATACATGTAAAGGACCAGCCAAGAAGGTAACACTGCAGCGACGGTGGCGCAGTCTGCACTAAAACTATTAGTAGAAGACAAAAATGGGCGACTGAAACCAGAAGAAGATGAATTATCAACCCTCTTCAAGACTACCATTCATACTCTGTTCTACCATGGGAAGAGGTATGGAGTAGAACACTGAGACTTTCCGGACCCATGGATGTGAGGAAGTATTGCAGCAGGCCGACCACCGATACCGACCACCGTACCTCAGCCACATCAAGTAAAATATTGTAAACCTTTATGCATCAAACTCCCATCTCTACACAATGCTCAATATAATTATTTATTTCAATACAGTCCATTTATTTCATTTCAAAGACCCAATCTTCTGTAACATATCATAGAAAAAATGATGGTATATCCCAATTCAAAAAGGAGTGGGGCTAATACTATCGGCCACAAGGTTACAATGTATCATAAAAAAATCAGCTGGATACGTCAGTATCATAAGGGGAGTGCTAGGGACGATGAAGATTTCATGTCAGTTGTGGTTTAGTTTTGGAAATTAAAAAACTTGAACAACTAGAAGTGTATAGGAGACTTTCAGACGGTTTAGATGTAGGAGAGTACTGCGTACTAAAAATAGCATATGTTTATTCACATCATAAATAGAATATTTTTTTTTGTTTTGTTTTTGTTTAGAAAAAATACATTTTGCCTCAATTAAGGGCATTGAGTATTTAGGATGAATGAAATACAATCATATCATATATACAATCAAAGAAAAACAAGATTATAACAAAATAAAATAAAACTTGGAGTAACAGAATAAATCGATCATGATACAACATTAAATAAATAAAAACACATTCATACTTATTTACAATATTTACAGTCAGATGAGGGAACTCCGAGTCGCGCCTTTTTTCCCCACGTGTGGAGGTTTCCAAGAGATGCCTTCTCTCTCAGCCGCATCACAGGGATGGGAATCCAGTGGAGACTAAGTAAGGGCACTAAAGCCACATACGCTCATGATTTGAGTGGAGAAGCTGACCATCACCAGGAATCCAATGACGTCTTTACAAAAGATCTCGAGGCCACTGCCGCTTCAACCTTCGAGGAGGATTGTAGGGATGACAGGAACTGGATAAGGATTGTGCTAAGGGATTAGGATGATGGATTAGGTTCGTATGAAAATTTGAAAATCGATATGGAATAACGTCAAGGATATAAAGGATGTTAAGGTCATGAAGTAAGTTTTTGTTCGTAACATAATAAGGAGCATTGACGGAGGACTTTAGACTGGAATGATTGGATGCGTTTGATGTTCGAAAATTTAGTTATCCCCCACAGTTCAAGTCCGTAGGTCCAGATGGGTTTCAGTATGGTCTTGCATATTAATAGTTTGTTCTCGATTGAGAGGTTAGATTTTCTGTTAAGTAGTCTTTATAACGTTAAGCTCTTGTCTTTTAAGTCTGGTATGTGAGTTGCATGTTAGTCTTTTGTCTAAAAGGAATCCAAGATACCGAACTTTGTCTGAGATGGGAAGAGGTAGTGAGTTGAAAAGGATAAGTGGACAGGATATGGGTCGGAGGGTAAAGGTGACTTGCTTGCATTTGGATTCATTGATCTTGATGCGCCAATTGTTGCAACATTGCTCGATTAGGGAGATGTGTTTTCGAATGTTTAGGGATGCTCTTTCAGGGTCTGGGTGGGAAGATAGGATGGCGGTATCGTCAACAAATGTTACTAGAAGGGTATTAGGATGGTTTGGAATGTCAGCTGTGAAAAGGATGTAGAGAACTGGGCCCATGACACTTCCTTGTGGAACACTGGAGGGGTTGACAGCTTTTGGAGGTAAGGAGAGAGGAATCGGAAAAGAGAGTAATTCTTCAACTTCACCAGTGTGGGTGGGATGGAGTTCGGGGTGGGGAGTGAATGTTTTGGATAGATGTTCGGTAAATTCTTCAGCTCTAGTCTCATCTGACGAAGCCCAGGTTCCATCATCTCGTCAGAGTGGGAAATAGATTGGTATTTAAGGATTTGTTCGGTCGCTTTCCAGAGGGAGTTGTCATCGGTAGAGAGAGAAGAATGGTAGGAATTGTAGGATTGGGATCTATATTTCGTAGCTCTTTATTTTGTTTATAAACGGTGATTTGGCGGATATTGTAATCTAAAGCCGTCAATTCTTCTTTGATTTCATCAGGTGGAGTTGAAGGGTGGAGGCCTCTTATCACTACTCTCAGTGCTCTCTCTTCATATAACTGATATGTGTGATATTCAACCTTTGATTCTGTTAAGTATTTCACATTTTTTCTGTATTTATCCGGAGAGTCCGGCATTAGTTTGGTGTCATTTGTTCTACTATGGCATATATATTTACCGTTGTCAATTATTTTATTGAGATGCTGACAGAATAAAGGGAAATGTTTAATGTTTCGAACAAATATTGGAGGTGTTTTCGGCTCTCTAGGGGTTGGTGCTGTTTCCATTGTATCTTGTGAAGATAATATCTGGTATGGGTTGGTGGTGAAAAACGGAGATTCGTCTGTTATTTGTGTTGAAGAACCATGTTGTGGATCATTAATGGTTTCAGTAAGTCTGTCAGGTGTTGATGGTGGTATTTTCCTATTGGAACGCCTTGGCCTTTACTTAACAGGTGAGCTTTGAGAGCTGCTATTGCCTAAACTTCTCGATCTTTTACTTTTCCTAGACATTATCATGTGGTAATATCTCATTTAAATAATCTGGCTGAAAAAGTAAAATAACTGGATGTTAAAATAATTACGTAGAACGGTGGAGCGGCAAGTGACGTGAACCTACCTCTCTGGCAGCCTTCCGGCTTCTGAGTGACTGCTTATAGATAACAATATAATAATTAACCTTTCAACTCAAATCTATTGTTGTTACCACTGTTCAGTAAACTTGATAAATAAGCGATTACTTACTTTGTTGTGTTCATTTGATGAGCGAATTGTTAATTGTTCAAATAACACTGTTTATAATCACTTCAGTTCACTAATTCACCGGTATTTTAATAATTTGTGGGAGACAAAGTAACAGGTGATTTGTAATAGATTAGCGCACGCGCAGAACTCAAAATAGAATGTAAGGATAATATTTTATAATAAAAAATGTTATCTTAACTTTGTATATACAAATTTTATATTTCTATATTTTTTTTATTTTTTTTGGCATTACAGATCTTCTGCCACCTAAACATTTCTGATCCATCACTGCCTGTCTTAAAATATTTCCTTCCAGTTATCTGCTCACAGCTGTATTTCATCCTTGTTTATTCTATTTATCCATTTGCTTTTTGGCCTTCCATTTAGTATTTTGCCGTCATTTGAGGCATTCTTATTCAGCAGTGGTGCAACAATTGGCGCATCAAATTAATCAAAATGTAAACATGTCACTTTCACCCTCCAACCTAGATCCTAGATAAAAGACTGAATTGGAATCCAAATACAAACCTTAAAAGACACAAAGTAAACTGACGATTCGACCAGGTATACAGATTATTAAACAGAACATCTCATCTTACAATTAAAAACAAATTATTAATCTATAAGAACGTTCGAAACCTACCTGGACCTACAGACTTGAACTGTGGGGGACAACTAAATTTTCCGTAAACAAATTTTAAAATAATTCCGTAAAAATTGCTTTAGAATCTGCATAATTTAGTTAGATTTTACAACATTTTAAATAGTCCTTACAGTGATACACAGCGTTGATTAGGTTAGAATAAAAAGTGTTTTTTACAAAATTAAATTTAATTTAAAATTTTAAGTAAAGTAAATCTTTCTAAGTTATCTTCTTTTCATTTTTTTTTTTATATGAATAGATAGTATTTTATTAAATCATTGGCCAATATTTAAATGCGGGATAACAATCGTATAAAATCCTTCCTCCCTCCTATAATCCTCCTCGACGATTAAAGCGATAGTGGCCCCGAGACCTTTAGTACATATTCTTTTGGAGTCCTGCCCTCTTTCAGTTTCCACTTGCTTCTCATACCAGTGAATTTAAATATTGTATATAATTGGTATGAATGTGTATAAGAAGATTACTTTTATTTATTTATGTATATTTTTTTATTAATATTAATATTTGCTTAAATATAAATGCTTATTAAACAAAATTTTTATTTAATTATATCATATATATAT